CGTATTTGGGTTTTTTTTTTTAGCAGAGACATGTCGCAGAATGCATTTTGGCAGAAATTTATGACTAAATTTAATTTTTAATTTTTTTTTTTACTGGACATGTTTTATAGCAAAAAGTCCAAAATATTGTTTTTTTTTTCCTCAACATTTTTTTATAGCGCAAAAAATAAAAACTGCACAGGCAATCAAATACCACTGAAAGGAAGCTCAATTTGTGGGAAAAAAAAGTATGTAAATTTCATTTATGTACAGCATTGCATGACCGCGCAATTGTTAGTTAAACTATCGCAGCGCTGTATAGTAAAAACTTGGCGTAAATTGCAGTATCTATACCATAATTTGTAGACGCTATAACTTTCACACAAAGCAATCAATATACACTTATTGGGATTTTTTTTACCAAAAACATGGAGCAGAATACATTTTGGCCTAAATTTATAACTAACTTTGAGTTTACTATATATTTTTATAGCTGAAAGTAAAAAATATTGTTTTTCTTCAAATTTTTGGCCTTTTTTTGTTTATAGCGTGAAAAATAAAAACCGCACACAGGTGATCAAATACCACCGAAAGAAAGCTCTATTTGTGTGAAAAAAAGGACGTACATTTTGTTTGGGTGCAGTGTTGCATGACCGCGCAATTATCAGTTGCATTAGTGCAGCACCGAGTAGCAAAAAGAGACCTGGTCATTAAGGGGGGTAAATCCTCTGGAGGTCAAGTGGTTAAAACTGAACACATAATAACTACACAGGCTCTGTGGCTGATTGAGGTGGTAATTAAACTTACTTGGTGCCTTATCTGCATTAACCTCCCTAGCAGTCTGATTATGTCCATATTTCTGTGCTCAAAGCGGTACATTTTTTTGCATGGAAATATGTTGTTTTTGTTTATTGTAGGCCTGTAATTTTTAGGAATAACTCACTGAAATCTGTCCGAACAAGAGTCTAGTAAACATCCCGGGTATGATAAAATTTGAAACACAAAATCATAAATTATAATATAATAAATAATCATAAAAAAATAATAATATAATAATAATAAATTTAATTCAATAATATAATCAAACCAAAAACACTGAAATGTGAAATATAGTGCCAAGTTCGCACATCACTGAGCAAAGTCGCAGAATCGTTTTCAGTGTCTGATGATGAATTTCCCCCACCAATCATTATCACTCAATTCTGCAAGTGGTTCTGATTTACTATCGCTGTTCTCTAGCCGGTCTACAACCGCTTTTGACCTAAAGGGACGCTTTTTGGACGCCATGGACGTTTCTCAGTTTCCAGGCAGAAAGAACAGTAAAAATGCAGGCAGGGCGCAGGACAAAGCACTCGGGACAAAATGTATGTGAAATGGTTTGATACAGGAATGTTATACTATGTGATTTTAGTGTATTTAGTGAATGTCACTTTTAACATTTTTCCGAATTTTCCGCCAGTTCCATCCTCCGTATGTCCCGATGACGCAGGGAACGGAACCCGGAAGACGGATGCCGGCATTGGCCGGAGGAGATGGCCGGGGACACTGCAGGGGGGACATCGCGGGAGCGAAGGACAAGGTAAGTACTGGAGGGATCCCAGAGCAATGCTGTAGTGTATTCCCGAGTGTAACTTGGGGGGGGGGTTACCGCTTTTGGTACTGAATGTTAACCCCGAGCTACACTCAGAAATACCGCCAGGGGGGTTAAATTAGTCTCAGAACCTGTGTAATTATATATGTTCGGTTTTAAAGGGATGAGGTGACAACCCTAACTAGGAACATAGAGGGAAAGTAGCAGAAGCAGAGGAAGATGGTTGCCATGGGTAACAGAACTGTAGGGGGATCCTTAAAATCAGGGTTAGTGTGGTAATGATGCAGGGTACTGGTATACAGGAGGGAAGGAACACTCACAAGCAGCTATAGTTGAGGAAGGAGGAAGGGATTCTTGATGTATAGAGGCAGATCTGAATTTGGTGTGAATAAACTGAAACTGGGAATAATATCTCTGACCAGACTTGGAGCAGAGGCTGAACAAAGTTTGGTTCATATCTCCCTTGTCTGAGTAGAAAGAGCACATCAGTAATACAATCTAACATCACCTGCTGGGAGCAAGCTGAGTACTATTCAAAGAAGTAAGTTGTGTCATCTTCCAACAACCACACCAAAGACTCAACCTCTGGCACACTAAGGAGTGAAAACATCATGGCCAGGGGTGGACTGACAACTCATGGGGCCCCCGGGCAATAGGGAATCATGGGGCCCCTGTGTCCTCGCCCACACTCAAACCACACCCAAAAAAGCCTATGAAAGGTACCAGGTTCATCTCATGGGGTCCCCTACTGACCCCGGGCCCTCAGGCAGTGCCCGAGTTCCCAAATGGTCAGTCCGCCCTTGATCATGGCCATTAGATGTTAACATACAAAGCTAATTCAGAACAAATCTGAACCAAAGGCTATACTCCAAATGAATATCTGCCCTGATCAACTAAGATATGTGCTACCAAAATGCAATCCAGCAAAATCAGGCAGCAAAGGTCTTTATTCCCTAATGCCAATTCCACACAACCGATAGCCTTCCCTAGAAGCATCTCAACATAAAGGACAGCAAATACTCAGAGCAAATACTTTCCAGTTCCCAAGTTGATCTGGTTGTTAGTGGGCGTCAGTGTTATGTCAGCAGCAAGGATGGCCAAATCTGTAGCTACACTCAGGAAACTAGGACCAAACTATATACAGAAAAGTAAAGGTATTAATAGCAAAACAAAACACATGCAAACACCAACAAAACAGCAAACATCAAGATATGAGTGAACCATAAAGCAAGTGACAAAATGCTTAACTAGCAACCTAACAGAGTAACTAAAGCCTAACAAACTACCTATATACAATATGTACAAAACGAGGAGCACTGGTAACCAGAGTAAACTGGAGAGGCAGGGAACAGATGGGAAGGGGGAACCAAGATTGGGATCAGGAACACAGAGAGCAGCAAGGCCTAGGATACAAGGCAGGAGCCAGGGGCGGACTGACAACTCATGGGGCCATCATGCCCCATCGTTGGTGTCAGTGGGGTGGGGGGAATAGTGCCCCATTGTTGGTGTCAGTGGGGGTGGGGAGGAATAGTGCCCCATCATTGGTATCAGTGGGAGGAATAGTGCCCCATCATTGGTGTCAGTGGGAGGAATAGTGCCCCATCATTGGTGTCAGTGGGAGGAATAGTGCCCCATCATTGGTGTCAGTGGGAGGAATAGTGTCCCATCGTTGGTATCAGTGGAAGGAATAGTGCCCCATCATTGGTGTCAGTGGGAGGAATAGTGCCCCATCATTGGTGTCAGTGGGAGGAATAGTGCCCCATCATTGGTGTCAGTGGGAGGAATAGTGCCCCATCATTGGTATCAGTGGAGGAATAGTGCTCCATCATTAGTATCAGTGGGAGGAATAGTGCCCCATCGTTGGTTTCAGTGGGAGGAATAATGCCCCATCGTTGGTGTCAGTGGGAGGAATAATGCCCCATCATTAATATCAGTGACACCAATGATGGGGCACTATTCCTCCCACTGACACCAATTACACTTGCTGACCCCTGTTCCAGTATGGTGCTGCTGCAGCCAGCATATGTGGTTGCAGCAGCACCTCTGCAATGCACACTTACCGGCCGCTCCCTCACTCGATCCTGTTTCCTTATAGACAGTAAGTTGTAATGAGTAGGACCCTCATATCTCCTGTTTCCTAATAGACAGTAAGTTGTAGTGAGTAGGAGCCTCATAGCTCCTGTTTTGCATTAGACTGCATGCGGTAATGAGAATGAACCTTATACCTCCAGTTCTTCATTAGATGTAAGCTGTAGTGATCGGGACCCTCATACCTCCTGTTCTCTATTAGATGTAACCTGTAATGATCGGGACCCTCATACCTCCTGTTCTCTATTAGATGTAATCTGTAATGATCGGGACCCTCATACCTCCAGTTCTTCATTAGATGTAATCTGTAATGGTCGGGACCCTCATACCTCCTGTTCTCTATTAGATGTAACCTGTGATGATCGGGACCCTCATACCTCCTGTTCTCTATTAGATGTAATCTGCAATGATCGGCACCCTCATACCTCCTGTTCTCTATTAGATGTAACCTGTGATGTAACCTGTGATGATCGGGACCCTCATACCTCCTGTTCCCTATTAGATGTAATCTGTAATGATCGGGACCCTCATACCTCCTGTTCTCTATTAGATGGTAAGCTGTGATCTTAACACATTTATGTTACCTGCAGCTCGCTTCTCATAAATGTCTGCAAGTGCTGTCATGTCCTCTATTTTTTTGGTATCTTCCTCCTCTTTATAGAGAGCCTTCAGGATCTTGGTGCAGGCCAAGGCTCCAGCTACATTATCCTCAGCCTGTAGGGAAGAGAAAATAAAAATCAACCCCCTGCATGACACCCATGACACCACATCTACAAGTAATGGTTGTTACACCTTCTGGATAATATCTGCAACATAAAACTAAATTAACCACTTCCAGTCCACTTTCCCCCCCTTCCAGTCCAGACACTTTCACCCCCTTCCAGTCCAGACACTTTCCCCCCCCTTCCAGTCCGGACACTTTCCCCCCCTTCCAGTCCGGACACTTTCACCCCCTTCCAGTCCGGACACTTTCCCCCCTTCCAGTCCGGACACTTTCACCCCCTTCCAGTCCGGACACTTTCACCCTCTTCCTGTCCGGACACTTTCACCCCGTTCAGCCTCTTCCCACAAATTCTGACCGAAATACACCGGTCGATATAGGCAACTCAAATGGGAGATGAATATGTGCAGATCATGGAACCAGCAATCCTCATCCAGACAGATATCAATCCTCCTCTCAAAGATCTAAACAGATTCTAAAAGACTCCCATCCAATGTTTAGAGAAGGAATAAAAAAAGAAGACCACTCTCAGTGTAGTAGTTAGATAATAAAGTCACCCTGTTTATTACAAGTTACTCGTACATTGTATTGGATGACTCTGTTCCCAAAATCCATTCACTATATCCCTCTGCTCCTCCCAAACATTTGTATATTGTGCCCTCACTGCTTCCTTCACCCCTCTATGGCACCCACCGCCTCCTCCTATTACTCCACTCTCCCACTGACCCGAACACCTCCACTAGTAGTTTCTCACGCTCCTGCACATCCCGCTCCCATGCCACCTTTCTCACCCTTCTCCTCCTAACCGCGGGGACATCTCCCCGAATCCTGGCCCTCCACCACCTCCCTCACCCGCACAACACCCTCCCGCCTCCATGTCCTACCGCAACCCCCGCAACTTAGTATCTGTCCCCCTGCTCCCTAAAATCTCCCCCCCATTTTCATGTGCACTCCTGAACGCCCGATCGGTGTGCAACAAGCTTACCGCCATCCACGACCTTTTTGTTTCCCGCTCCCTCAACCTCCTAGCGATCACGGAAACCTGGATCCAGCCCACTGATTCTACCTCCCCTGCTGCACTCTCCTACGGAGGTCTCACCTGGACCCACTCACCCAGGCCTAACGGTCGTAAAGGTGGTGGGGTTGGTCTGCTCCTGTCACCGCCGAGCACCTTCCGAGTCCTCCCAAACCCCCCCTCCCCCCCTATCCTTCTCCTCCTTCGAGGCCCACTGCGTCCGACTATTCTCCCCAACCCCCCTGAAGATTGCTGTGATATACCGGCCTCCTGGATCCATACCCCGTTTCCTGGATGACTTTTCCTCCTGGCTACCCTTCTTCCTCTCCTCTGAGCTACCCACCATCATCCTTGGGGATTTCAACATCCCTGTCAACCTCGACAACCCAGACACATCCCATCTCCTCCACTTAACCTCCTCCTTTGCACTTGCACAGTGCATACAATCCACCACACACTCCAACGGTAATATCCTTGATCTTCTCTTCTCCAACCGCTGCGCTCCCCACAACCTCACTAACACCCCCTTCCCTCTCTCTGACCACAACCTGATTACCTTCTCTATCTCCACGTCCTCCAACACCTACCCCTGCAAATGTCACGCTACTACCAGCCGTAATCTCTGCAACCTTAACCCTGCCCCCCTCCGCTCTGCAGCTGATCAACTCATGACCACATCCTCCCCCTGTCCTGCCCTGACTTGGCTATGACCGCCTACAACAACACGCTGTCAACAGCCCTTGACTCACTAGCGCCTTTAACCACACGCAACATCAGACCCCGACCGCTCCCAGCCCTGGCAGACTGATCACACCAAAACCCTCAAACGACACAGTCGTGCCCTGGAGCGACTATGGCGCAAAACAAAATCCCAACAAGCCTTCACCCTCTACAAATCTGCCTTCCACACCTACACCTCCTCCCTCCACGCAGCCAAACAAGCCTACTTCCTGACCCTCATCAAGACCCTCTCCTCCAATCCTTAACGACTCTTCTCCACCTTCAACTCTCTACTCTCTCCACCCCCACCTCCACCCAGCACCTCACTCACTGCCCTTGAGATTGCCAATCACTTCAAAAACAAGATTGCCACAATTCGCAAGGACATCGCCGCAACTCACACGCCGTCTCAACCCGTCCCCCTCTCACACAGCTACCCCCTCATCCCCCCTCCCCCTCGACATAACCCGCAGGGACTTTGTCGCTGCTCAAACTCCCTCCAACCCCGTTCCCCCTCACTCAGCTACCCCCTCATCACCCCTCTCCCACGGCCCCACACTGCTCTGACCTCCACTTCCACCCCACCCTACATTCCTCATACTGAAGCTCCCCCAACACTCTGCACCTTTGACCTTACTACCATCGAGGAAGTCTCCAAGATCCTCTCTGATGCCCGCCTCACCACCTGCCCCCTCCTCGACCCTATCCCCTCACAACTCCTACGACCTTCCTCCCCCTCCATCCTACGCTCCCTCACCCACATCTTCAATCTCTCCCTCTCCTCAGGCATTTTCCCCTCCCCTCTGAAACATGCACACATCACCCCCATACTTAAAAAGCCCTCCCTGGACCCCAATGACCTGAACAACCTCAGACCCATCTCCCTGCTCCCATTTACATCTAAACTCCTCGAGCGCCTCCTCTACACCCGCCTGTCAGGGCTCCGGGTATGACCAGAGGTATGTGAACTGACGCAGGGAAACGCAGGTTTCAGATATGTTATAAACAATATAATTTATTAATACTAACAATACAAAACGCAGTGCAATACTAAAACATAAACAAAGTGCAAACGAACCAAACCAAACCACCCACAGATAACAATACATACAATGCAAGCGTAGTAAAGCAGGCTGGGTCAATAACAATCGGGCAGGTAGGAACAGGAGGAGCAGGCAGAGAGTAGTCAGGTCACGAGCCGGGTACGGCAACTAACGGGCAGGTAGGTACAGAGGGTCAGGCAGAGAATGGTCGGGGTCACAAGCCAGGGATCAACAGGAGAAGTCAGCAGAGGTCAGGATCAAGCAGGGTCGGCAACAAGTCAGTCAGGCAGGAACAGGAACAGGAATGCAGGTAACAAGATACAGGGGCCCATGGAAAAACACACACCAAGGCACAGACTGCAGGACTGGCCATCCCTTAAATACACCTCCGTAATCAGTTTCAGGTGTTTGGCTGACTACAGGGTTGAGTCTCTGATTGCTGAGAGCACCCGCTGGCCAGCCCTGGTACTGCAGCCCACAAGGCAGGTGAGTCCCACCATTACTGGCAGGTCCATTCCTGACACCGCCTATGCTCTCACCTCAATGACAACAACCTCCTCGATCCCCTACAGTCCGGCTTCCGTCCCCTACACTCCACCAAAACTGCCTTTCTCAAACTCTCCAGCGACCTGCTAACCGCCAAAGCTAATGGCCACTATTCAGTGCTCCTACTCCTTGACCTCTCTGCGGCCTTCTACACAGTCGACCACCCCCTCCTCCTCAAAAAACTACACTCCCTCGGCCTCAGAGATTCTGCTCTCTCCTGGCTCTCATCCTACCTGTCACAACGCTCCTTCAGCGTTACCTATAATGCTACCACCTCCCCCTCACTCCCCCTCTCTGTTGGGGTCCCTCAAGGCTCTGTCCTTGGGCCCCTTCTCTTCTCCATCTACATTTCCTCCCTTGGCCAACTCATACACTCTCACGGCTTCAACTACCACCTCTATGCCGACGACACACAAATCTATCTCTCAACCCCCCCACCTCACCCCCTCGGTCTCTGCCCGAATCACACACCTACTGAGCGACACATCAGACTGGATGTCGCTCCACTTCCTTAAACTGAACCTCTCCAAAACCGAGTTTCTTGTCTTCCCCCCAGCCCGGACACCACCCAACATTGACTTCTCCATCACATCCAAAAAAACGCCACCATCAAACCCGCCCCGCAGGCCAGAGTACTTGGTGTCATTCTGGACTCCAACCTATCCTTCCAGCCCCAAGTCCAATCTTTAACTAACTCATGCAGACTCCACCTCCGCAACATCGCCAAAATACGCACGTTCCTAACCCCAGAAAACACTAAACAGCTCATCCACACCCTCATCATATCACGACTCGACTACTGCAACTCCCTCCTCACTGGCCTGCCTCGCCGCTGGCTATCCCCGCTTCAGTCGATCCTGAATACGGCTGCCAGACTCATTCACCTTTCCAACCGCTCCGTTTCCGCCACCCCCCCTCTGACAATCCCTCCACTGGCTTCCGATTGCGCAACGGATCAAATTCAAAATCCTAACACTGATGTACTAAGCTGTCCACCATACTGCCCCGAACTACATCACTGACCTAATATCCAAGTACCGCCCAGCACGCACACTCTGCTCCTCACAAGACCTCCTTCTCTCTAGTTCCCTGGTCTTCTCCTCCCATGCCCGCCTCCAGGACTTCTCCAGGGTGTCACCCATCCTCTGGAACTCCCTGCCCCAACCCATCAGATTATCACCTACTCTACTCTCCTTTAGGCGCACCCTGAAAACCCATCTCTTCAGGGAAGCCTACCCCACCCCCTGCTAACTTGCCGACCTCCTCCACTCTTCCTACCACTCCATCCCCCACAGCTTTCTCCTCCTGTGCCACCATCCCCTCCCTCCTAGATTGTAAGCTCGAAAGAGCAGGGCCCTCGATCCCCTCATGTTTTGCATTGTATTGTTATTGTTCTGTCAAATGTTCTGTCCCGCTTTGTAATGTACAGCGCTGAGCGAACTATTGGCGCTTTATAAATACTGTATAATAATAAAAATCATGGATCAGTTTGAATACATCAGAATACTTGAAGAGGTCATGCTGCCTTATGCTGAAGAGGAAATGCCCTTGAAATGGGTGTTCCAACAAGACAACGACCCCAAACACACCAGTAAACCTGCAACATCTTGGTTCCAGACCAACAAGATTGACGTTATGGAGTGGCCAGCCCAATCCCCGGATCTTAATCCAATAGAAAACTTGTGGGGGGACATCAAAAATGCCATTTCTGAGGCAAAACCAAGAAATAGAGAAGAACTGTAAAATGTAGTCCAATCATCCTGGGCTGGAATACCTGATCACAGGGGCCAGAAGTTGGGTGACTCCATGCAACACAGATGTACAGCAGCTCTCAGAAACAGTGCTTATACAACCAAATATTCATGAAGTCATTCAAAGGAAAGCAAAATCTTCAAACATTTTTCAGTTTATATAGTGAATGTTTGAGTTTGTAAAGAAGAATACAAACACTGCTATTTTTTTGAACAGTCTAATATTCACTTTTCTTCAATTTTTTTAGAGGAACAACACAAATTTGATCTATTTTTCTTCATGTTTTGATTTGGAATAGAATGTGTAGTGTTCCCAATGCATTTGTGTGTATAGAAATAAAAGCTATTAGAAGGATTTTCAGCCTCTATTCACTTTTTTCAACACACTGCTATTATTTTGAACACGACTGTACATGTCCAAAGTATATGGAGAGTTGATCCTTTTCTCTGCATTGTCTCCAGAAAGCGGATGAGCGTTGAGGGTAATATAAAGAAAGTTTAACTGCAGTTAGGTAACATTGGTGCAAGATTTTCATGTACGATTCCCAGTGGGAGCTACATCGGGATGCTTTACGGGTGATGTTAAAAGTCTTTTCCCATGTGTGCGGTAGTATTGATTGTGAGAGAAGTTTCTCCCCGAAATTCGAATTTTAGAAAAAGGTTATATTCTAACACTAATACACATAGGAAATCAGCAATATTCAGTATTATGTTTATATTTCGAATTTGGCTCTCTGTATAGAACACAAAAACCCTGGCCTACAGTCACATCACCCACATCAGTGCTATAGGAATTATGGACAGGACAACAGTTTAAGGACACAACAAAATCATTTTTGTCGACGGACATTTATGTTTTTCTTGAGTGTCAAAGCCCTCAGTAATCCTAGTTCAACTTTTAGGCTCTTTGTAATTTTCTGATCACTAAAGATAGGTACAAAACAACAGCAATTCGGGAAAAGAAGGCAATGATTGGCTAAGAGGGAACAGCATTTCTCTACCAGATTCCAGAAAATGTCTGCCATCTCTGCTCGGTTCTGCACGATGCACCAGATGAGAAGATCCCTCGCAGGGTGGTCCAACTGCTGCTCATTTTTGGGTTTCATAGTTCCTACTTTCGCAGTCACCTGAGGATACAAAATTCATATCAGATTCATATTGTTGCTCTTTTCCTTTTTTACACCATTGCAGGTCATCAAGAGTAAAGATTGTCATAAGTTACTTCTAGCACTCAACAAAAGTGGTCAATATCATGTCACCTTCCTGTTCTATTTACTTTCATCCTATCAACTCCAACCAATCTTAAGAAGTAGGGGGTAAGAATATTAGGAGGAGATGAAATAGAGAAAATGGCAAAAGATAATACACAAATTAAAGATTCTAACTCTGCCAGTTGGATGTTTGTACCACCTTCATGACGGATGGCCTGTTTCAGAACTTAAAGCTACAGAGAAACAAAAGTTAGACAAGTTTGAGAGGAATACAACAAATGGATACAAGAAATGGAGAGTTTTCATGGCTTTAAGTACCATCTCTATGCTGATGACACACAAATCTATCTTTCTACCCCTCAACTCACCCCTTCAGTCTCCTCTCGCATTACTAACCTACGAAGTGACATATTGGCATGGATGTCCCTCCACTTCCTCAAACTCAATCCTTCCAAAACTGGGCTCTTAGTATTCCCCCCAGCCCATGCCCCCTCCCCCCGACTTCTCCATCAAGATCAATAACACAATCATCAGTCCCTCCCCTCATGCCAGGGTACTAGGTGTAATCCTAGACTCCCATCTGTCCTTTCATCCCCAAATCCAATCACTGTCCAAACCTTGTAGACTTCATTTCCACAACATCTCCAAGATACGCCCGTTCCTAACCTCGGAAACCACTAAGCAACTTATTCACTCCCTTGTTATATCTCGCCTTGACTATTGTAACTCCCTCCTCATTGGCTGACCTCATCGCAGGCTATCCCCTCTTCAGTCTATCATGAATGCTGCTGCCAGACTCATCCACCTTACTAACTGTTCCATATCTGCTATTCCTGATAGGTGGCACTGACTGGCATTGATAGGTGACACTGAAAGGCAGCTCAGATGGGCACTGATATGTGGCATTGATGTGCACTGGTAGGCACTGGCAAGTGGCATTGATGAGCACTGACAGATGGCATTGATGGACACTGACAGGTGGCACTGCTGGGGCTACACTGATCATCAGGGCACACCGATCATCAGTGCCCTGATGATCAGTGTACATGTCCCCTCTGAAGGATGCCGATTACCGGCTCTCCTCTTCTCTCGAGCTGTCAGAGTGACAGCTTGTGAGCAGAGAAATGCCAATAACCGTCATTTCCCTATTTACATATATTGGACACAGCTGATCACATGACCGAGGCGACATCTTCGGCTCTTTCCATTGATAGGTAATCCGTTGTGTCTGAGGGACACAGCGCACCACCAATCGCCGCGCTGCATGCCCCTGGAGCCGCGCATGCGCGCTTAGAATGGGAGGACATCATATGACGTCCTCCCTGAACGAGAGAACCGCCTTGCGCCCGTCATTTCCTTATATGGTGGGCGGGAGACGGTTAACATATATTTCAAATATATTTTTCTTCCATGTGGAAAAGACCACATTGCTCACCTTGATGTTGACTTCTGCCAGGCTCTGTTTACGCTTGGCTTCTGGGTACAAGGGTTCTGTTAGGTCTCCCAGAAGATCCTGTAGGACATGGGAGACATGATGAAGTTCTATTTTAGATACTTCCTTTGATCTCTTTGATGTGGCTTGTCTCACAAGTTTGCTGTGAATCAAACTGGATGGTTCTGTATTGTTGTACAAGTAGGTGAGAGTGTCCCTGGTGAGGTACTCCGCCAGACTGACTCCACGCTCCAGGAACAGGCGCACAAATGACGGTTTGTCTTCAATAAGTGACAGTGTCAAGCTGGGATACAGATCAGATGGCTAGAAGACAAGCAAGAAGAAGCTTTAAATTGAAAAATGAACATCAGCAAATAAGACAGCAATACTTCACAGCAGGGGCGTACTGACAACTCATAGGGCCCCGGGCAATAGGGGATCATGGGGACCCTGTGTCCTCACCCACATTCAAACCACAACTAAAAAAGCCTATGAAAGGTACTAGGGGCATCTCATGGGACCCCTTACTGACTCTGGGCCCTCAGTCAGTCTGCCCCTGCTTCACAGATTCTGTTGCAGCATACTAAATGTACAACCTAACCAAGTTAAAATATAGGTTCACACCTCTCATATCAGAATATAATGCAGAGCTGACAAACCACAACATAATATGTCACCATATTCAAAATGAGGGAAAGAGGGCAATGAACAGGGATTAAGTGACAACAAAGAATAAACGACCTTCCAGGTCCAGCCTTCAGTGAACATCTGAGTCTCAACAATCTCTGGCCAGTTCCAGGACACGGCAAGCTTCAGCTGATGGTTCCAGTTCTCCTGGCTATTGGGATCAGCTTTGTGAGAGGCTGAAAGACAGATATCAGTGGTCATTATTATGTTGTTTTCTTACTTCTATGAAGACTTTATTTATCAGATTATCATATTATTTCTGTGTCACTTTGTTTATTTTCCAGCTTCTCTATACCTTAACTAGTAACACTGGTTGGGTAGGGAATGAATCAGTATCTCATGACCTCCCTGGCAAAGGCTTCCAGCCAGTTGGTTGTCCCCCTAGGGGTACTTTGCGTAAAATTGATGGCGCTATATACAGTTGTGTTCAAAATAATAGCAGTGTGTTGAAAAAAGTGAATAAAGCTGAAAATCCTTCTAATAGCTTTTATTTCCATCCACACAAATGCATTGGGAACACGACACATTCTATTCCAAATCACAACATGAAGAAAAATAGATCAAATTTGTGTTGTTCCTCTAAAAAAATTGAATAAAATGAATATTAGACGGATCAAAAAATAGCAGAGTTTGTATTCTTCTTTACAAACTCAAACATTCACTATATAAACTGAAAAATGTTTGAAGATTTTGCTTTCCTTTGAATGACTTAATGAATAATTTGTTGTATAAACACTGTTTCTGAGAACTGCTGTACATCTGTGTTGCATGGAGTCACCCAACTTCTGGCCCCTGTGAACAGGTATTCCAGCCCAGGGTGATTGGACGACATTCCACAGTTCTCCTCTATTTCTTGGTTTTGCCTCAGAAACTGCATTTTTGATGTCACCCCACAAGTTTTCTATTGGATTAAGATCCGGGGATTGGGCTGGCTACTCCATAACGTCCATCTTGTTGGTCTGGAACCAAGATGTTGCACATTTGCTGGTGTGTTTGGGGTCGTTGTCTTGCTGGAACACCCATTTCAAGGGCATTTCCTCTTCAGCATAAGGCAGCATGACCTCTTCAAGTATTCTGATGTATTCAAACTGATCCATGATCCCTGGTATGCGCTAAATAGGCCCAACACCGTAGTATGAGAAACATCCCCATATCATGATGCTTGCACCACCATGCTTCACTGTCTTCACAGTGTACTGTGGCTTGAATTCAGTGTTTGGGGGTCGTCTGACAAACTGTCTCTGGCCACTAGACCCAAAAAGAACAATCTTACTTTCATCAGTCCACAAAATGTTGCGCCATTGCTCTTTGGCAAATTGTAACCTCTTCAGCACATGTCTTTTTTCCAACAGTGGGACTTTGCAGGGGCTTCTTGCAGATAGCTTGGCTTCACATAGGCGTCTTCTAATTGTAACAGTACTCACAGGGAACTTTACACCTTCTTTTATCTTCCTGGAGCTGATTATTGGCGGAGTCCTTGCCATTTTGGCTATTCTTCTATCCACTTTATACTTTTATATACTTTATACTGTACTATACTTACTTTATCTATATACGTTTTCGCTTGCTTCCACGTCTTTCAGATTTTGGTTGCCATTTTAAAGCATTTGCGATTATGTTAGCTGAGCAGCCTATCATTTTCTACACTTCTTTATATGTTTTCCCCCCTCTCCAATCAACTTTTTAATCAAGGTACGCTGTTCTTCTGAACAATGTCTGGAACGACCCATTTTCCTCAGAATTTCAGAGAGAAATGCACTGTAACCAACATGTACAACATTTGCTGCCTTCCTTCCTTAAATATGGGCAAAAATTGCCATCTGTTTTTCAAAGAATGACTGACCTCACTAATAGAACTCCACACTGCTATTATTTTGAACATGCCCCTTTCGAAGAGTGATTCAATTACACAGAATCAGCAGCATGCATGTCATGACTGTTGGATTTCTATTACTCTACTACACCTGCTAGTAAATTATTTGTCATGTAGAAATATCATTTCTACCAAAAACAGTGATTGATCCGGTTAGTGATGTCTGACTGCTATTATTTTGAACACAACTGTAAGTAACTGAAATAAATAAATAACTGAAAGGAAAAAAAACTGGGAAAAGATACACTTTAATGTGCAAGTCCGGTGTCCACAAAATATCTAATGGAAAGAGGAAATTTTCTCTGTAACCAAGCCTCAGAGAAATATTTTGTCTGCTGGTGTCAATCTCTGACCTTTCAGCAAAGCTTGCAGGATTGCCACATCCATCCCTTGATCTCCAACCTTCTCCTCCCGGAGGATGGTGAGGAGAGACTCCATGCGGACAATATCTTGAATCTATGGAGAAATTTGGAGACACCTATGAATATCTGCAGTGTGATTAAGCATATGTTTTAGCCAAAGACCGTCACTCTTTTAGTCACTGAGAACTACTAAAGGCATAAAACTAGAACCTGTAGGAAATGTAGCTTCTTTTTTTTTTTTTTTTTTTTTTTAATGTAAATATTTACTAAGTGTCCAGATAAAATACATATTCCATCGTTTTCTCATAAGACATACAAAACCATTATTTATATCCCTTTCTATAATATCCCCCCCCCCCAACTAACTTCCCTTCCCCCCCCCCCCCCATACTACCCACCCTGCATTTCTCCACGTCTACCCTACAAAAGTAAGAGGCACTTTCACATATCACACCCTAAAGCTTCATACATTTCGCCTTCAGTACAAATTTTTTCCATTTCACATAGTATAACCCCATCTTGTCTTCCTGCATATGATACACTTTCTCCATCCTACAAATCTGGTTCACTCTATCTACCCAATCCTCTTCCTTCGGCACCTCTGTCTTACGCCAAAACTTGGGTATCAAACCTTTTGGTGGGTTTAGATAGTGCCATATACCCCATTCCTTGTATTTGTTTACTGATAATGCTGTGCTATGTAATAGACAAATCTCTGGATCCAATCCCATATTCATCTCAGTAATCATCCCAATTAAATGAACTATTGTCTTCCAAAATACTTGAATTTTTGGACACTCCCACCATATGTGATATGACGTGTCTATTTCTCCACATCCCCGCCATCACTCCGGTGAGTTCTCCCCACTCATCTTATGTTCAACAATCGGTGTAAATGTGCCATCTTATCAAACACTTATAATTTATTTCCACCTCCCGCATACTTATATTCTCGTGAATTAATCTATATATTTCCTTCTGTTTATCCTCTTCTATCACAACCCCCAAATCTCTTTCCCATTTCACTATATACATTGGCTTTGTGTCTAGTTCAGTGAGAATCTATATATTTTAGCAGTGCCGTGTTTCCCATCTCCCCATGTCTCAAACAGATTCCAATCCTTTCTAGATCTCAAAGGTTTCGGAAAATTCCCAACAAAATGTTTTAATTGGTGATACCTCCACTCATCTATCTTAGTGAAAATTTCTCCTTTTTCCTCTTCCAAATCCTTAAGTGATCTCAATTCCCCCCCCCCCCCCCCCCCCCATTATATCTCTCAACTGGATATCCTCCTTCTTAAACAATTTTCCTATAATCTCCTCCCTAGAAATGTAGCTTAATATTTATTTTGAAGTACACACTAGACTAGAGGTGACCATGGTATTGCACATGGCTGACCTTTGTAAAAGGTGTTAGACAGTATATATAGAGAAGATGTAAAAAAAACTGGAGATATCTAGGTATTGAGTGACCATCAAACACAACCAAAAATCTTTGCGCTGAATGCGTACTCAAATAAAATGTCTAAATAATCTCATTAAAGTGATAATAAACAAATAATGACCACTGCTGCCATCTTAAATGAAATAACTATACTTCAGTGAACATAAATAATCTAGTGGTGCTGTGGCCAACTAATGAGTGAAACACATTCTCCAGTGATAAAATATAAGAAAATAAAATGAAATAAAATAAAATATACATGACCATGGTATCTGCTGGAGAGGAGTAAGGAGATTTATGAAGTCTATAAAGTCTATGAAGTTTACATATAGTCCAACTCTTAGTCAGCGTCTCCGTGTCAAGAAAACCCAATAGTGCTGATGTCTTCTATTAGAAATGTCCTCTTTCTTTCTTTCTTATTTCTTTCTTTCTTTCTTTCTTTCTTTCTTTCTTTCTTTCTTTCTCTTTCTTTCTTTCTTTCTTTCTTTCTTTTTTTCTTTTCTTTCTTTCTTTCTTTCTTTTTCTTGATAAACTCCTCTTCCTCCACTTAATACCCTCAACGAAATAAAAATCACATATAGTGCATTATCCAAAATGCATGATATCCCCTCAAGGGGTCACAAAGCTTAATGCAAGTAGATAATCCTCAACCAGATGGATCTCAGTGATGAAACACACGAAAGCTCCTCTACATGGCATCCACAGCAATCAGTGATTATCTCCTTGCATTTACACTTTGTGACCTCTTGAGGGTCGCAGTTTGAAGATAGGATACAGGGGTATTTAAGTGGGCGCGACGTGCACAGCCTCAGAAGAAGTCGGAAGTGACAAAACGCGTCAGGACGTGACGTTGGACGTAAAACAGAAGTTACAGAGCGGCCATTTTGGAAAATGTTTTGCCATTGGAATTTATGCTGAGACACCTTGCTTGTTTGTAAACACAATTTTATCGGTAAAGAGAGATATCCCTGTTATTGCCTACTACACTATTTTGGGTATACTTTGTCACATGTTATGATGTTGTGAATCGGATACGTTGTGGAGTATTAAGAAATCAAAATTATGATTCGGCACTTATATTGATGGCAAGCTTGCAAAATATTTGGTTTTTATGATTAATCATAATTTATATTAATATGTGTGAATGGTCTTTTGACAAATGGTAGTATTACAATTCTTCAATTATAACTGAGACTGAAAAATATGAATAAGTTAAGCTGAGACAGTAAAATAAGACAGGAGTTAAGCTGAACTAGCTAAACCAGCTGAAGGCTGAGTATACTATATTTAGGCATAGCTGGTTAAACGTCTCTGGTAGTATATGTCAAGGTTATTAGGAGGACTCATTATAGATTTACTATTACATTATGTATTTTAATAGTATCTGTGTGTATTTAGTATACGTTTCTAACATTGATACATATATAGTTTAGTGATTATACATTGATATGTTGAAAAGATATGTTCTTAAGCTATATTATTCTTTAAATATATAGCTGACGTTACATCATTAGCTTATAATATTATGTACATCAGCATACATATGTTCCTGTCCATCAAAAACATTATGTGAGTGTCATCCCCTCCCTTCTATGCCATACAAGGTATTAAGAATCTCTCGTTATGACACACTCATTCTGCATAAAAGGGTCCATAAGGGACAGGGAGGAGGACACACGCTAAGACTGACACTCTGACACACATACACGCACGCACACACACGTATGAGAAATCCAACAGGTGCATGCAGCAAGGCAAAGTTTGTCACTTCCATCTATTTCTGGCTTCTTCAACAAAGTCTCGAAGGACAAGTAGAGCATGAAGGACATGTTCAGCACATGGCCGGACTTCTATGTCAAATAATGGTGACTTATCTTTAAACGTTTGCTTGTTATTTCTACAGTAGTTTTATCTACATGGAACTGTTCATAATACGCTTTACATTGTTATTTTACACCATTGTGTGATAGAATAAAATCACACTTCATTTTTTATTTCATTGGCTCTTTCATTCATAATCGCCTCAAGACACTAAAAGAAGTATTATATGTGTCTAAAATCCAACATGGAGTGAGAGGAGCCCCCCTTTTTATGCAAGTGGACTTTATCAGATGATAAGGTGCATGAGATATGAGGTGGCGGTCAGTGTGTTCACCAGCACTGGGAAAACATTTTTTCATGTGAGGGGAGCATGTATACTGTTTTGAAGATATGACACTATATGTAATTCCTTCGGAGGTACATTTTTCATACGAACGTGGACGGATTTAGGAGCTCAACCATGAAGAATGGTGGATTTTGTTGTTGCTTTTCTACATTTTTAAGAGGGTAAGAGTAAGGGATGACAGAAGGTTAGAAGTGGACACAAGGTGGAGTGGAGTGATTTTCACTTATTGGCACTAGTTTTGTAAGTGCGTTTTTTTGTGTTGGATATCATGCGTTTTGGATAATGTACTATGTGCCATTTATATTTCTTTGAGGTATTAAGTGGAGGAATAGGAGTTTATCACTTGTGAAAGAAAGAAGAATTATCTAATAGAAGACAGCAGCACTATAGTGTTTTCTTGACACGGAGACGCTGACTAAGAGTTGGACTATGTGTTTTGGCTCTCGGGGGAAAACGTATAATTTGGTGTCTGGGGTTTATTATTTATTGTGTTAGCACTTAGTAGCACACCAATACATTTATTTATTTATGAAGTTTACATGGTGATACCGCAATTGGAGACTTTACAAGCAATACATGCCGACCATGAGAGTGGAAGGCATGTGGGTCTGGTGAGTACATACCCAAAAGGGAAGGTGGTTTCCTGAGCACGTGGTGATTTTGGTTCGGTAATAAGATCACAACACTGAAATAGAGGTCTACATGTTATGATGGACTTTATTTTCACATTAGTCAATCTTTCCAAAACTGAGCTCCTAGTATTCCCCCCAGCCCGTGCCCCCCCCGACTTCTCCATCAAGATCAACAACAGTCTAGTCCATACCCTCATGCCAGGGTACTAGGTGTAATCCTAGACTCCAATCTGTCCTTTCAGCCCCAGATCCAATCACTGACAAACTCATGTAGACTTCACCTCCGCAACATCTCCAAGATACGACCGTAACTAACCCCGGAAACCACTAAGCAACTCATTCACTCCCTTATTATATCACACCTTGACTATTGTAACTCCCTCCTCATTGGCCTACCTCATCGCAGGCTATCCCCACTCCAGTCCATCATGAATGCTGCTGCCAGACTCATCCACCTTACTAACCACTCTGTATCTGCCACCCCTCTCTACCAATCCACTGGCTTCCAATTGCCCAACGGATAAAATTCAAAACACTAACACTGACGTATAAAGCCATTCATATCACTGCCCCAAATTACATCATCGATCTTGTCTCTAAATACCACCTAAACCGTACTCTCCGCTCCTCGTAAGACCTCCTACTCTCTAGCTCCCTTGTCTCCTCATCCCATGCTCGTCTCCTGGTTTTCTCAAGGGCTTCACCCATCCTCTGGAACTCCCTACCCCCCAATCTATCAGGCTATCACCTACTCTGCTCACCTTTAGGCGCACTCTGAAAACCATCTCTTCAGGGAAGCCTACCCCGACCCCCAGGTAAATACTGGAATCCTCTACTCTTCCTACCACTCCATCCCCCACAGCTAATTAACTCTTGTAGCACTATCCCCTCCCTCCGAGATTGTAAGCTCCAAGGAGCAGGGCCCTCTAATCCCTCTTGTATTGAACTGTATTGTTACTGTACTGTCTCCCTCCATAATGTAAAGCGCTGAGCAAACTGTCGGCACTGTATAAGTCCTGTATAAGAATAATAATAATAATAGCTGATTGATTTATATCACATGATTGTTTTATTTTATTTCATTTTTTATCACTAGAGATGTTTTTTCACTCATTAGTTGGTCACAGCGCCACTGGATTATTTATGTTCAGTTGTGTGACTAATCACTCACTTTTTTGGTCCACATGATGATTTGATCTTCTGTGAAATTGTCATACGACTCCGAGAAAAGATTTTTCAGTTTCTCCTTAATGAGGCTGACGGTAATGCTGGAGGAATTAATATTCACTACTTGTGCTATGATGTCAGCAACTCGCCCAGAACCCTCCACGATGACACAAGGGGTGTTGTTACACATTGAATTGTAGTAGATGGTCTGTAAGAGGGACGGTTAGAACACTGGAGAGAAGGTTACATACACTCTACAGTGGAAATAGGTTTTGGCACACTCATGTAAATGGCTGTCTCAAATAGAAAGAGGAGAGGATGCTGGAGGGCCAAGTCATCAGAGAAGGAGCAAGAGGAGTGGATGCTGGAGGCTATGTGATCAGTGAGCGCGGAGCAAGAGGAGAGGATGCTGGAGGCTATGTGATCAGTGAGCGGGAGCAGGAGGAGAGGATGCTGGAGGCTACGTGATCAGTGAGCGGGAGGAGGAGAGGATGCTGGAGGCTATGTGATCAGTGAGCGGGAGCAGGAGGAGAGGATGCTGGAGGCTATGTGATCAGTGAGCGGGAGCAGGAGGAGAGGATGCTGGAGGCTATGTGATCAGTGAGGGGGAGCAGGTGGAGAGGATGCTAGAGGCTACGTGATCAGTGAGCGGGAGCAGGAGGAGAGGATGCTGGAGGATATGTGATCAGTGAGCGGGAGCAGGAGGAGAGGATGCTGGAGGCTATGTGATCAGTGAGCGGGAGCAGGAGGAGAGGATGCTGGAGGATATGTGATCAGTGAGAGGGAGCAGGAGGAGAGGATGCTGGAGGCTATGTGATCAGTGAGCGGGAGCAGGAGGAGAGGATGCTGGAGGCTATGTGATCAGTGAGCGGGAGCAGGAGGAGAGGATGCTGAGGGTTGTGTGATCAGTGAGAGTAGAGGATACTGGTGACTATGTAATCATTGAGCAGGAGCAAGAGGAGAGGATGCTGGGGCCATGTGATTAGTGGGTGGAAGCAAAGAGGAGAGGATGCCAGGGGCGGTGTGATCAGTGAGCTCCCAAACAGTAGAGCAAGCCACAGACTGAGCAATTTTCGATTCCCCCATCAAACAGGCAGTGTTGATGGGGAATTTTGCCCGCTGAGCCATTGTGTCCTCCCTGTGGGGGAACAGAGGGAATCATCCATGCTGGGAGAGCACAGTGACTACTGCTAGCACATATAATAGCCACTAACAATAATCAATAATAAATAAATCCAACAGACTGCTTGTACCTTAGTTGATCGATCAATCAACTTGTGTACATTCAGCCTAGCCATACATGTTTCATTTTGAACAGTCTATGGCCAGATTTAGGAAACAATTGTGTTCAGAATCAAATACAATTAGTAAGTAAAGTTAATGATAAGTTTTATAAAATATAATTCCTAGTTTTTCCTGAATTACCCTTCCACAGTTGGTGGTGTCAGTGTGGAGTGTTTACATTTTAAAAAACGTAAATAGTTATCCTAACAAATGCAATATACAATGATATGGGAAATGGCAGTGACATAAACACATACAACACAGACATAAGTTGAACTGGATAGACTGGTGTCTTTATTCAACTTTACCAACTATGTAACAATATCATTTTTAGAACTATGTAGTACAAACACTTATGTGTTCAGAGAAACAATATCAATAGTATGGGCTGTATTACAGATGCTTCCAATGCATGCATGCAAACCTCAAGACAATTCCCGACACCAATCTGATACTAGAAACATTGTATTCTCCAGCTAGGAACCATACGACTAGTTTTCTATTCTTATCCACCCAATAAGCAGTTGTTGTCTATCTACAAGAGGTATGTACAGGATATTCCTACTTGAACCTTGATGCTATTTTCACAGGGAAATCAATAAGATTGCAAAGGCATACGGTGCTCACAAAGTGCATTTATATCAATAATTTATAGCAATTATAGACCTGACTAGGCATTTGTGAACTCACATCCAACGTTCCGGGACCTCCTTCCAGCACCACACACACTGTTTTAATGGCTGTTTCTGAGATAAAGAAAGAAAATAAGATACAAATACAGCTCAGTTGATTGTGGGATGGATACATCCTACTGCTGCTTTCACAATTAGACAGTCTGTGAGCACATTGTATATAAATGTGTTCTGAGCTTTCAACATTTCAATATCTGGTGGATGCTAGAGAGTTAAAATATATCTAATGCCAAAACATTTTTTTTTTAGTGGATAGGGAATGTTTGAAATTATACTTGTTTTTTTTTCTGTGTCTCATTTTCCTTCAATTCCTGTACCAGAGACACAACAGGTATAGATGACCACTGTCTTGTGTTTGCCAGGGAGGGGGATTGCCCATTTAGCTGGCACGAATACCAGTGTCTCCATTCAAAATTTCCTCTCAATCCCTGTTCTGCCTGTCCAACCCCTATTTACGGCTGTAAAATTCTTAATTTCCTATCACTTTCTGTTCTGAGACAATGATCAGTATAACAACAAAGGTGGTGAATCTCCCCAGCAAGGACACAGAGTGCAAAAAAGGACCTAACCAGCCCCTACTAAAAAAAACAGTTGAGCTTTGGATACACTTTAAGCCAACTAATGGCTTCTTATATCCATCAGGGGCAATATAGTTGAGATTTATGTGGCTGAGAGAGGAATCTGCAGACTTGCCAAGGTGTGCTATCATGAATGGCACCCCTCTCCTTTCTGCCTGGAGATTTCAACAGGATAAAAAACACAATAAGGAAGGTAGGAACAGAACAAGGAACTTTGAGGGAGGCCTCACTCCGGGACCGTTCAGTAGAAAAGAAGCCATGGGGTCATTAGACTCTACCTATCAATAAAATTTAGTTTAGTTTTGATAGTAGACTAACACTTTAATACTGGGAGTAAGGTCTCTTCTGGAAGGCCCTCATGATATGCCCCTCTACAATACAATGGTAAGACTGGATAATTCTGACTAGTTGACCTTCAAGCAGGGGCGGACTGACAACTGATGGGACCCCCGGGCAATAAGGGATCATGGGGCCCCTGTGTCCTTGCCCAAACTCAAAAAAAGCCTATGAAAAAGGTACCAGGGGCATCTCATGGGACCCCCTACTGACGCCGGGCCCTTGAGCAGTGCCCGAGTTTCCAAATGGTCAGTCCGCCCCTGCCTTCAAGGCACCAATCCATCCAATCTCTTCCATTTCTCATTCTTGTGTCACTACATCTTCCTGTTTTGCCAGCTAAACTTGCATGCCATCTCCCCCTCACCATCCTCTGTGCATTTCTGTTCAGAGATAAATTTCTCAAGACGAGTTCTCAGTGGAATTTCCACCCCATAGCGTCCATGTGTCCCATCATCCACCAGTATGAAGTGTGTGTGGTTGTTGTCCAAACAACACAGTGCCCCCTGCGATCCTACATCCATGGGGTACAAGGCAGGAGCTCCCCCCTACAGACAAATTAACATAAAAAGAAGTATATTAATGCGGTTACACATATTTTTTTCTCTGTTTAGAAGCTTTGTTCCTTACATGTGACACAAGGAGGGTTAATGAATTGCCTGCAATGCTGAGCAGCAGTGATACGTTTAGGAAGGCTATAAACAATGTTCATCTATAGAGTTTCCTCTCCACATTGGGGGCTGCCATTTTGGGTATATTATGTATGCTGGCCAGATGGTGATTGGCGGATAGAGGCACAGATGAAGGGGATATGGAGTGGAGTTTTGCATTTTGGAATAACAAGGGCTTGCTTGGAGGAACTGAGACTTGTGAGGAATGTAGTTCCAGGAAATACTGAGCCTGTTTTACAGATTGGCTCTGTGACTACAGGAAAGAAAAGGAAGGTCTGATCCCAAGTTTGAGTATATGTGGTGAGGACATTGTGGAAGACATACCATGCTGCAGGCTGAATGTTTTCTGTACATGCTGAAAAAGTTCTTATAAAGAAAAAGGATAAGCGAGCGCTAAAAGTCTGTCAGCTGCTAAACACCAAAGGTACCAAAACCTCTAGAAATCAATAATATACAGCAGTGTGTAGCGCTAAAATAACCAGATCAAAGAATATTATGACATCAGTGGAACTTGAAGACATCAAAATCCAATATATAAATAGCATAAATAGCATAAGACACGTGTTGTCATAAAAAATACCTCAAATGAATCAGTTAAAAGATGGATAAAACATAATAAAGCACAGTAACATATAAAGTGATAAAACATTGCTCTTTGGCTTGGTTGCAATAAATGACCCCCTTTATAAAGGATATCACGCTATTGGCCTCCTCATTTTGGGGCTCCCTGGGAGCTTTAACTATCCACAGAGTGGGAATACCAACATTGGTAGCGGATGTCGGAAGGTGAGGATACCAGGCCTGACCAGACCTTGAAGGGACCCCCAGTTTTCTGAGATTGATATCTCTAAATGCGCAGATTGATTGCGTATCTGGTGAGTGCGCAATCTTTATAAAATCGGGATTTTATCACTACCCTATTTGGATCATACTACTGGATCCTGAAGATCGTTATGATCTCCATGCACCTTAATGTTGGACTTTCAATTTGCACTTTACATATCAATAGTCACTGCATAGTGACATGTCAGAACACTGTTTTATCACTTTATATGTTAATGTGCTTTATTATGTTTTATCCCATCTTTTAACTGATTCATTTGAGGTGGTTTTTATGACAACACGTGTCTTATGCTATTTATGCTATTTAAGCTATTTATATATTGGATTTTGATGTCTTCAAGTTCAACTGATTTCATAATATTCTTTGAACTGGTTATTTTAGCGCCACACACTGCTGTATATTATTGAAAAAGTTCTTAGCCTGAAAAATAAAACTAATGCAGCCACCATATCTAAGGACTGGTAGGAATTATTGGCAGCTATGGCTGGATTTGGTGTTAGTGCAGGTCTGGGGGCTATAGCTATAAGGTTCTTAACTCAAAGCTCACTTACTCTTGGTGGACCCCAGTGCTCTGCTGGAACAAATGAACTATGAAATTTTCATTGGATTGAATAGAAAGCAGGGCTGTCTTAATAGCATCATGAGCCATGGGCAAAGTTATGCACTGGGGCCCCTACCAGCCTGCCCAAATTTGTGCACCTACTCTCAAGTATTAAAGTAAAACTAGTTGATAGAATTAAACATATATTTATTAGTACTTTTCAATAAAATCAATTTTAAATAATAAAAAAACGTGCCATAAATCAAAGACTGATCAACATGACGGGCACATTACAGGGGTGATCAGGAGGGCACAATACTGGGATCAGGAGGGCAAAGTATAGGTACTGGGATGCTGCCTGGAACACAGCAGTCATTCTGGGATAGTTTAGTAAAAATCGTGACTGTCCTGGCAAATCTGGGACAACTGGCAAGTATGATTCAATGCACGATTATTATGGGCCCCCATGCATCTGGGGGTGCCCATGCATTAAGATGGCCCTGATAGAAAGCACAAATCCTGAGAGGAGCCGGAGCTGGCATGAGGATTTTCAAGAAGAGGTTGTGCATTGCAGAACAGGTCACACAGCAAAATTCATAGCTGAGCAGCTTAAAGACATAATGATAGGTTGTCTCCTATCTAAATTGGTCCTATGTGTATGAATGTGAGTTAGAGACCTTAGATTTTAAGTTCCTTGTGGGCAGGGTCTGATCTGAATGTCCTTACAGGATGTCTTCAACTTACAAGCCGACCTCAATGCACTGTTTTTAATTGGGCAACTATGTGGCAAATGAGGTTTAATGTTGATAAATGTAAGGTTCTGCACTTGTGGGCTAAGAATATGATTCATCATACATACTAGGGGGGGTACACCTGGGGGAATCAATGGTGGAGAAGGATCTGGGAGTTCTGGTAGATCACAAGCTTAATAATGGCATGCAATGCCAAGCTGCTGGTTCTAAAGCGATTAACATCCTCTCTTGTATTAAAAGAGGTATAGACTCCAGAGAGAGATATCATATTCCCCGGTATTAATCATTAGTAAGACCTCATCTGGAATATGCAGTTCAGTTTTGGGCACCAATTCACAAAAAGAACGTTGGGGAACTGGAGAAAGAAAAGAGAAGGGCATCCAAACTGATAAGAGGCATGGAGGAGCTCAGCTATGAGAAAAGATTAGGGGAACTGAACGTATTCTCTCTTGAGAAGAGGAGATTAAGGGGGGGATATGATCTCCATGTATAATACATAAGGGGGGGGTATGATCTCCATGTACAATACATAAGGGGGATATGATCTCCATGTATAATACATAAGGGGGGATATGATCTCCATGTATAATACATAAGGGGGGATATGATCTCCATGTACAATACATAAGGGGGATATGATCTCCATGTATAATACATAAGGGGGGATATGATCTCCATGTATAATACATAAGGGGGATATGATCTCCATATATAATACATAAGGGGGGATATATGATCTCCATATATAATACATAAGGGGGATATGATCTCCATGTATAATACATAAGGGGGGATATGATCACCATGTATAATACATAAGGGGGATATGATCTCCATGTATAATACATAAGGGGGATATGATCTCCATGTATAATACATAAGGGGGGATATGATCTCCATGTATAATACATAAGGGGGGATATGATCCCCATGTATAATACATAAGGGGGATATGATCTCCATGTATAATACATAAGGGGGGATATGATCTCCATGTATAATACATAAGGGGAGATATGATCTCCATGTGTAATACATAAGGGGGATATGATCTCCATGTATAATACATAAGGGGGATATGATCTCCATGTATAATACATAAGGGGGGATATTATCACCATGTATAATACATAAGGGGGGATATGATCACACCATGTATAATACATAAGGGGGGATATGATCTCCATGTATAATACATAAGGGGGGATATGATCTCCATGTATAATACATAAGGGGGGATATGATCACCATGTATAATACATAAGGGGGGATATGATCTCCATGTATAAATACATCAGTGGTTCATATAGTGAACTCGGTGTAGAGCTATTCACCCTGAGGTCATCACAGAGGACAAGGGGGCACTCTTTATGTCTGGAGGAAAAGAATTTTAATCTACAAACACGGAATGGTTTCTTCACAGTGAGAGCTGTGAGAATGTGGAATAGACTCCCTCAAGAGTTGGTTGTGTTCAGCTCAGTGGATTGCTGTAGGAAAGTCCTGGATTCTTTCTTGGATACACAGAATATAACTTAATATAACATTTATAGGTAAAGTTGATCCAGGGAATATCCGATTGCCTCTTGGGGGTGACCTCGATGGACTTTCGTCTTTTTTCAGCCAGGCTAACTATGCAGTATACAGTATACAGTATATGCAAAGCACTGCATAAGTTGCCAGTGCTTTATAAGTATCTGTAATAAATAAACCGTTAAATAAAGAAAAAGAAGGAAGCCACACTCCATTTGAAGTCCCTTGTATACTAGATTACAAGCCTGATGCACACACTGTTCCACCCTTTGATGCAATCGCCAACACCATTCATTCCTTCCAGAGCTTATTCATATATATACTGCACTGTGTGTAAAGGCTAGTAGCTGCCATACACGAGCAGCATTGTGTCACAAGATTAACTCTCTTAAACTCCAGACTTTAATGGAAAATGATCTTCTAGGCTGAATAAGAGATCCATAGCTTTCTCCTAATTCCTAAATCTTGTGCCTTGTGTTCCTTAAAAGAAAGATCACAAAAAATTCTGGCATTTAGTACAAGATATTTCTATGAAAGTTATGTTCTATATGATGTAGAATATGTCTACTTCTTACCGCCTCACTGATCAGTAATTTTCGGTTGTGGACGATGCCCCAGGTAGCAATGCCTATCAGGACAATCTCAGAGCCTTTTCCTCCACTGAAATTCCGTATGGCTTCACCTACAAGCTTCATGACCCCAGCATGAGAACCTCCAGTGATGATCCAGGCCCCTGTATGTAAGAAAGGGAGGAGAGATTGGCTATACAAAATATGGCTGCACTGTCTGTACTGTAACCCTCTCTGGTTAGCCATTTCATCATCCACTTCCTTACTTACACTACAAACAGCATATGAAAAGTACAAAAAATGGCCCCTGCCCCAGTCTATAACTGGCCTTCACAGCAAGGAGCACATGGAAGGACAACGCATGTCAAACAACAAAAGAGACAAATTCCTGGCTCAGCTTGCCAACCAGCCTGCAAACAAGCAGACTTAAAAACAGGGGTTTAGTTATGACACATTTTGCAAACACATGCGTAAGCTACAGAGCCTCTTCAGGGCACCCTGATATTCCGTAGTCGTGACTATACAAATTTTGAGAGCCCTCATAGTAGAGGCACATGTCTTTAACCCCTCGCCTACAGGGAACGTATACCCCCTTCCTGCCCAGGCCAATTTCCAGCTTTCAGCGCTGTTGCACTTTGAATGACAATTGAGCGGTCATGCAACACTGTACCCATATGACATTTTTAGCATTTTTTTGTGACAGATAGAGATTTATTTTTGGTGGTATTTAATCACCTCAGGGTTTTTATTTTTTCTTGAACAAACCAAAAACCACTGAAACTTTTGAAAAAAAAAACATGTTTTTCTTAGTTTTTGTTATAAAATTTTGTAAATAAGTGATTTTTCTCCTTCATTGATGTGCTCTAATGAGGCTGCAGTGATGGGCACTGATAGGCTGCACTGATGGACACTGATAGGTGGCACTGATGGGCACTGGTAGGTGGCACTGATGGGCATTGACAGGCATCACTGATGGGCACTGAAATGCGACACTCATATATGGCACTGATAGACGGCACTGATAGGCGGCACTGACTGGCACTGATAGGCGGCACTGACCACTGTTAGTTGGCACTGTTAGGCGGCACTGATAGGCAGCACTGACGGGCACTGATAGGCAGCACTGATGCACACTGATAGGCGGCACTGACTGGCACTGATAGGCGGCACTGACTGGCACTGATAGGTGGCACTGACTGGCACTGACTGGCACTGATGGGTGACACTGAAAGGCAGCTCAGATGGGCACTGATATGTGGCATTGATGTGGCACTGATGGGCACTAGCAGCTGGTATGGATGAGCACAGAGCTGGCACTGTTGAACACTGACAGGTGGCGCTGCTGGGGCTACATAGATCATCAGGGCACACTGATCATCAGTGCTCTGATGATCTGTGTAGATGTCCCCTCTGAGGAATGCCAATTACCGGCTCTCCTCTCCCTCTGTCAGCGTGATAGCTCAAGAGGAGAGAAATGCCGATAACCAGCATTGCCCTGTTTACATGTGATCAGCTGTGATTGGACACAGCAAATCACATGACCGAGCCGACATCTTCAGCTCTTTCCGTAGATCGGTGATCCGCTGTGTCCGAGGGACACGGCGCACCACCAATCGCCGTGCATGCGTGGTGAGAATGGGAGGACGTCATATGATGTCCTCCCAGAACGAGAGAACCACCTTGCGTCCATCATATTACTATATATGGCGGGCGGGAGGCAGTTAATGGATAGACCAAGGGCAGGTGGACCTAAGGGAGCCCACCCCTCCTTAAAGGTACCGGAGAGCACTGGACACCCAGCATGTAGCACAATGGCAGCTAAGGTGTCCAGTACGCCTCCTCACTAACAACTCAACAGTACAAAAAATGGCCACTGCTCCAGTCTATAACTGGCCTTCACAGCAAGGAGCACATGAAAGGGCAACACATATCAAACAACAAAAGATAAAAATTCCTGGATGACTGAACGACTGAAGTAAGTTGGCAAGATGGTATTTTAATAATATAAATGGAGTGTTTCTTATAAGAGGAAACTATTGCTGTTTATTGTGAAACGGCAGGAATTTATTCTTTTAGACTTGAAGGTACTTAGAGGGGGTCTACTGAAGGCAGACAGTGTTGACCGAGGAATTCCTCCAGCCGAGTCATTGTGCCGTCAGCCCCTGCTGGGAGAAGACAGTGACTATTACTAGCAGGGGAGGACTGACAACTCATGGGGCCCCTGGGCAATAGGGGATCATGGGGCCCCTGTTTCCACGTCCACACTCAAACCACACCCAAAAAAGCCTATGAAAGGTACCAGGGGCATCTCATGGGGCCCCCTACTGACCCTGGGCCCTCGGGCAGTGCCCAAGTTCCCGAATGGTCAGTCCGCCCCTGATTACTAGTGAATATACCAGCAGCTAGCAATAATTGCATGTAAAATTCGGCAGACTGGTTGTACCCAATGTCATCAATCAATCAACTTGGGTGCATTCCGCCTTCCCATACATGGTTCGAACCTCAGCCGGTTTCTGCTGAACCAGCCGAGGCTCAAACTGTCTATGGCTGACTTTAAGCATCAAGTTTTAGCTCTGCTAGAGGCCATTTTATCTAACAAAAATAAACATTACCTACTTTCCTCAATAGCCACTGAAAATCATGATCATTAAAGTGTTTCAGCCAAGCATTACAAGTGAGGACAGCAGTGACAGTGAAGCACAAGGATGATGTGCTCATTGTAGAAGCCCCATTACCTGTGCTTCGTGCAGCCTTCACAAGGCCCCGGCTGAACTGGGTCTTCAGCCTTGGACTGATGTTGAAATCTTTGGCTCCTCCTGTCACAGATATGAGGAGACTTGGTACACGAAGCCCCCACTGCTCTGTCATCAGTTCAAACAATATGCTGGGCTGAGTGTCGGAGGATGCTCGCACGTACTGTTGAGAAACAGAGCCTAAAGTAACTTATACAGCAAGATGTTTAACCCCAACTATTAAAATGATAAAATGTGTCCAACAGCAGTCTAGGCTTCCACAGCATACAGTAATGTCCTTCAACACCCAACAAGCATACCTTGGCCCAGGTCCTGGTGGTTCCTGTAAATGTCATGTCCCCATATGCATCAGTGGGGAATTCTTCGACATGTTTCTGAGGGTCCCAATTGATTTCAGGTGGGCTATTGGGATGTGAGGTGTCATGAAAATGGGATTCTCTGGTGTAACCACATCCACAGGTCTCCCTAAGAGAGCAATAGAGCATCTATTAGACATGCGATTTGTTTCATTCCGAATTGAAATTCGGCCAAAATTTTACTCATTCGGAGATTCGGACGTATCTAAATTTCCAAATTACAATAGCAACAAAATTTAAACGATTTTGAATTAACGATACAAATATTTGTCCAAATTCTTATTGAATCTGAATTAAATTCGAAAATGAAATCAAATGTGAAAACATATTTGAATGAAATCATATTGCTGACTATTGTGGATTTCCTTCAAAGACTATGTGTACTGGTGTTAGAATATAGCTGACTTCAGAAATTTGAATTTCAAAAAGCATAGAATAGAATAAAACAGAATAGAAAAGAATAGAAAAGAAAGGAAAAGAATAAAATAGAAGAAAGTAGCATAGATTTAAATAGAATAGAATAGAAAAAAATATAGCCATATTCCGAAATTTGAATTTCAAAAAGAATGGAATAAAATGGAAAAGAAAACAATAGAAAATAAAGGAAAATAATAGAAAAAATTAGAATAGAATAAAAATAGAGTAAAATAGAAAGAATATAGCCATATTCCGAAATTTGAATTTCAAAAAGAATAGAATAGAATAAAACAGAATAGAAACGAATACAGTAAAACAGAATAGAAAATAGAATAAAATAGAATAGAATTGAAAAAATAGAATAGAATAAAATAGAAAGTACGTAACCATCTTCCAAAATTTGAATTTCGAAAAGAACCAGCTATTCTTCACAATGAATTTGCATCGATTTGATATTTTCAATTTGAATTCGATTTGAATACTTCAAATCCATTGTAAAAATTCTAATCCAGTCGAAGACAAATAAATTAAACTAAACTAAAAGAATGCACAAAACAAAATTAGTAACTTAACAAATTGATCCAAAAACAAAACAAATTTTTTCACTCTGCACTTGTTTAGCATCTATAAAATATTTGCAGCATAGTCTGATAAATTGAACCCAACACTCAGAGGCGTAGCTAGGATATTTTGCACCTGGGGACGAACTACAAAATTGGCGCCCCAGCCCCCCTCCCCGTTTAATCACATCAGTGACAGAAATGATGGGGCACTATTCCTCCAACTGATACAATGATGGGGCACTATTCCTCCACTGATACCAATGATGGGGCACTATTCCTCCCACTGATACCAATGATGGGGCACTATTCCTCCAACTGACAATGATGGGGCACTATTCCTCCACTGACACCAATGATGGGGCACTATTCCTCCCACTGATACCAATGATGGGGCACTATTCCTCCCACTGACACCATTGATGGGGCACTATTCCTCCCACTGATACCAATGATGGGGCACTATTCCTCCCACTGATACCAATGATGGGGGACTATTCCTCCCACTGATACCAATGATGGGGCACTATTCCTCCCACTGACACCATGATGGGGCACTATTCCTCCCACTGATACCAATGATGGGGCACTATTCCTCCCACTGATACCAATGATGGGGCACTATTCCCCCCACTGATACCAATGATGGGGGCACTATTCCTCCCACTGATACCAAATGATGGGGCACTATTCCTCCCACTGACACCAATGATGGGGCACTATTCCTCCCACTGACACCAATGATGGGGCACTATTCCTCCCACTGACACCAATGATGGGGCACTATTCCTCCCACTGACACCAATGATGGGGCACTATTCCTCCCACTGACACCAATGATGGGGCACTATTCCTCCCACTGACACCAGTGATGGGGCACTATTCCTCCCACTGACACCAGTGATGGGGCACTATTCCTCCCACTGATACCAATGATGGGGCACTATTCCCCTGCCCACTGATACCAATGATGGGACACTATTCCTCCCACTGACACCAATGATGGGGCACTATTCCTCCCACTGACACCAATGACACTGACCTTGCTGACCCCTGCTCCAGCCTAGGCTCCTTCCCTCTCCCATCCACAGCCAGCATACCTGGTTGCAGCAGCACCCTCCGCACGGCACACTTACCGGTCAGCTGTCTTCTTCACTTGCTCCGGCCGCTCCCTCACTCGATCTTCGCGCTGCCGCTCGGCTCCTCCTTTCCAAGCTCCGCCTCCTCGCAGGTGATTGGCTGCCTGTGTGCCTTTCCTGAGCTACAGTTCTGGTGGAGCTTGTAGAGGGAAGTACAAGCTGCCATAGACTGTCCAGTGATCCCGAGGGTGGTGGCCCAAATGACAGGGGCGGCATGCCATCCTGCCCACACATCGCGTTCAGGGAAAAGAAGACCCGGACCTGCAGACCTCTCAACCCCTCCTCCAGCAGCGCCTCCTGGACTGGATCGTTGTGGGACTGGGACACGGAGCCAGGAAAGACACAGCAGCCCGCTGCTCGCCCGCCCCTGTACTAAGTGTCCCTTCCATTGGAAGGGGGGCGGTGGCACCACGCTGCCCCCCTAAAATGTGCCGCCCTATGCAAACTCCTTGTTTGCCTCATGGCAAATACGCCCTTGGTTGTAAGCCTCATTTTGGCGCCCCTATACCTTGGCGCCCGGGAACATATGTACCCCCCTGCCCCCCATAGCTACGCCTCTGCCAGCACTGATGACCTATTCCACCATACACAACAAACAATGAACGTATAGGATCCTATAGACACATTTATGGCATGATGTGTAGGCCACAGCAGAAGAAATACATTATTGTTGTGGAGACTGGAAGGACTTTGATGTTCCAGTTAGTCTTCACATCTCTGCAGCTGGGGAATGTGAAATGTAAAATCGGGGACCACGTGTAAAATCACGCACATTCCCAAACCACAAAGTAAACGCACTGAAATTTAGCATACACGTGGGGGTGCCATTGTTAATGGCACTCCCACACATCTGCACTTGTGGTGCGTTTTCACACAAAGCCTCATGTTACCACAGCACCATGCAGTTTGGTGCCGCACAATTTAAAAAAAAAAGGGTTGGGGATTTTTTTTTTCCTTCATTTCTCTGGGTGAGGCAGGCTATTGAAATGAATGGGTGCCCAGATCTGAACTGTGCCTTGAAGGGACAGAACATCAGTGACATAGCATAGTAGATCAGGTAATAGATCATAGTAGATCAGGTAATAGATCATAGTAGATCAGTTAATAGATCATAGTAGATCAGGTAATAGATCATAGTAGATCAGGTAATAGATCATAGTAATAGATCAGGTAATAGATCATAGTAGATCAGTTAATCTGCAGCAATGAAGCTTCTAAAAACGGGCCTCCTGTTGCTTGCAATTATACACATTGATCAATATCTTTTATGTCGGCCAAAATATTGCACAGAACTCTGTTGCAGATGACGTACTTACCCATCACTAGACTTTTGTGGGATGAAAGCAACGCATTCTTTTTTCTTAATATTCGTTGAAACCCAAGAATTAAGGTCAGCAATCTGTAAATGAATAATAGTAAATTTGAAAGCGACATTCTGATTGAAAGAAAAGAAAATAGAAAAAAGACAAACTCAGCATGGATAAAGCAGAGGAGGCACACAAGATCGAGGGAGAGCCAAAGAAGACATTTAATGGAGAAGGAGCAGAGAGCAGATAAACCAGGGCCAAAATAAAGAACGTAAAACAGTTTTAAAGTGATGACACAGTAGGAGACTCACCGGTTCAAGAGGGCCCTGAGAGAAAGACATTTATCAATTCAATGGAGGCCAGAGGGGAGGAGAAACAT